GTAATGGAGTTAATAATCAAATATAAACATGTTTTGAGGGATTTTTTTTTTGGTTTCTAACATTAGCATGATTAAACATGCCCCGGGTCAAATTGAGCCAGGAACATTACTGCTGTTCCAGAATCAAACATAAAAGGAGGGTTAAGATTTCCATGATTTACCTTCACTGTCTGTCCTGTGCAGAATGACAAAACGCAAAATTATTTCTTTATTAAAACCTGCGTAACTTTGCTCCAATTAATTTTAGCAGCATGAATCTTTGCACAGGTAATGTCCACAAGTGGATTCATGGTTTCCATGAGTTTTTAGCCTGATTCATTGTGGTTTTAAATGGGTTATATACTGTCTAATGAAAAAAATTATTCAGACGGGAGAGAAAAAATATGTTCCATCTTCAATATCTCTAAAACCACAGCAGCTGTTTTAATACTTACACTTCTGATGAAATATCCCAAGTGTTAGCTTTATTTTGAGACTAAGATTATTTGAGTAGAGTTTGTAAATGCTGAGATATACTCAGTTACATTTCAGCATGGTATTTTGAGCAAAAACATCAAGAAAACCACTTAGAGCTTAAGAGGTTAATCATGAGCTATTGGCCAAAGCAATTTGGCACACAGTGGAAGATCTGATGGTGAATCACTCAGGTCTCATCTTTGCTGGTGCTTTTGAATGATTTCTTAAAGAGATGATGCTTATCTGCATAGGATACAACCTGAAGAAAAAAACATTAAACCAACAAAAAATGTTAAAGAATTATTGAACAAAATATATATTTTATATTTTTATATAGCCCCTTATCAAGTTCATTTGGACCCCAAAGCCTTTTACACTTCACCCATTCACTCGTTCACACACACACACTGATGGCAGTAAGCTACATTGTAGCCACAGCTGCCCTGGGGCACACTGACAGAGGCAGGGCTGTCAAGCACTGGCACCACCGGACCCTCTGACCACCATCAGTAGGCAAGGTGGGTGAAGTGTCTTGCCCAAGGACACAACAACTGATACTGCTGGAATAGGGGATAGAACTGGCAACCTACTGGTTATGGGAAGACACCCCTAACCACTCCACAGCCGCCCCTAAAGGATTAGCAGTGGTTTAAATTTTGTTATTGCACCTTTAATACAACTAAACACACACACACACACACACACACACACACACACACACACACACACACACACAC